GCCTACTAAAGAATTAGAACAGGTGAATTAAGCCTGTTTTTGTTTTTTGTTTTTGTTTTAAGTGCACAGTTTCTGTTTAACCGAACGTTAGCAGTATCAAAAACGCAAAAGCTATTTTGGAAGAAGGAAACAAAGTCCTTTGTGATCTGTGTGGTGTTAAGTGGATTACGGAAGGACAATATTGAGATGGGCAGACTTATAGAACGATTTGCAAGCACTCTCTCCCCATAACTGACTAATGCTATTTACTTGTGATAAACACTTTTTTATTTAAATGATGCTCTGTATCTCTCTGTGGTACAATGTACTATTAACAGTCTAATGGCAGCCTACAACCAGTTCTCATTATAGCAGCATAATAATAGTGGATTACATCTGATAGCTTCCTCGTCAAATTTAATAGGAACCATTTTCACTACAGAACTTTATAATTTGTTTTTAATCACATAATAGCATTGTGAAGCAAACGTGCCCTTTATACACTTTGGGGAATATTATTTTTTTTAAGACCTTACCAGCTCTTCCACATATATACATATTTTTTAAACCCACAAACCAACCACAGTTGCTGGTTTCCTCATTACTATGGATCCTGCTTTAAGCAAGGAAATCCATACTGTAATTTTTTGAAAACTGAAAAAATATAAAACTGAAAATGAATAAATAAAAAGTAATAAGGGCCTATATTCTTTTTCTTTCATGAGCCGCTGCTCTGCACTACACGGTAACTAGAACTGCACCAGATTTTTGCCCAATGATGTTTTGGGCAACCTCACAAAATGAGTAAGGCAGAAACCATGTGTCAGAAGCTGCTGGCGTCTGTGTGTGCCTGCCTCATGTCGTGAAATTTTTAAACCAGCGTTTCCCAAACTTGAATCTCCAGTTGATTTTAGACTACAATTCCCATCATCCCTGACCACTGGCCCTGCTAGCAAGAGATGATGGTAGTTGTAGGCCAACAGCCGCTGGAGACCCAAGTTTAGAAAACCCTGATTTAAACTGTAGGTGGCCGCCTTCTTAGCAAACAACCTTCTAGACCAATTTTGCCTACCCATTGAAAGTTTCTTTGCATGAACAAGAGAAGAAGAAGAAGAAGGAGAAGAAGAAGAGGAGGAGGAGGAGGAGTTTGGATTTGATATCCCGCTTTATCACTACCCGAAGGAGTCTCAAAGCGGCTAACATTCTCCTTTCCCTTCCTCCCCCCCAACAAACACTCTGTGAGGTGAGTGGGGCTGAGAGACTTCAAAGAAGTGTGACTGGCCCAAGGTCACCCAGCAGCTGAATGTGGAGGAGCGGAGGAGCGAACCCGGTTCCCCAGATTATGAGTCTGTTGCTCTTAACCACTACACCACACTGGCTCTCCAAGAGAACAAATTACTTCTTTTTTTGGCTGTGCCTTGCTTTAGCAAGTTCTTCCTGTCCTCTGGCATGCCTCTTGGCTCCAATTCCTTGTTTGTCCTCTGGTCTTGTTTATTCTTTGGTCATGACTCCCAGCTTTTTCCTTGATCCTGCACTGTAATTCATCCTTCAGTCCTGCCTTGCTCATCAGTTCCAAATATTTGCCTGTCTAATGGCTCCTTGTTCCCAGTTCCAGACTCACCTCAAAGTGCTTGCTGCCCTCAGCACAGTCCAAACACCATGTCGCTTCAAGTACCGGTACATGTCAAGGGGGTCTCAGTTCATGAAGCTCCCAATGATTGCCAGAGGGAATGGAGATCCAAGATTTTTGATACAAATTCGAATTTTTAGTACTTAGTCAAAGACCATAACCAGTCGTTCAACAGTACAATAAAAACAGCTTAATATAGGATTAAAATATATTAAAGCATAAATATCATAATCCATTACAATCAAAAACCTTTCTGAAGCACTGAGTTGTAAAATCCTGGGATATAATTTATTTTTTAAATCAAGTTTACTCTGAAACAATCAGAGTATTATTTGACTTTCATTTACAGTAAAATATTTTCATGTGTGTATACTAAATATATATATACTACAGCAGTGCTGTAAAACGACTGCAGAGTCCAATACAAGTTGTCAGTGGCATATATCAATATTTATTCTCTTTTCAAACCACAGTTACTATCTCATTTTCCATATATATCTTTCTTGCTGAACATCACTATTTAGTAGATATTTAGTCAAGGATTTCATAGATATCCACATCTCTTTCCTTAAGTTTGTTTGTAATAAAATGTTGTTACTGGCATAGTCAACATGGAGCTCATTTCACGGGACAAGACTAAATTTCTGAGCATCTGGTCTTCATTATATACTAATGGGCTGTCTGTTAAGGATATTGTAAAGCAATTAATTGGCAGAAAGCACATCCTTCCCCACAGGAAGCACACAAATGGCAAAACATATTATTACAGATCCCCTTTTTTCAGATAAAGACATTCTGTGGCATACAGCAGGGAAACCAATGCTTTGCAGATGACTCCATGTAAGTGTTCTAAGAGTGTTCCAGTATCCAGAACATACATCTCCACATGTACCAAAAGACAGTGGAGTTGGAAGCCATTCATATAGGACACAACCACGCCATAGAGGAGTGGCTTGGTGAATCCATATAATCATAGAATTGTAGGGTTGGAAGGGATCCCAAGAGTCATCTAGTCCAACCCCCTGCAATGCAAGAGTCTCAACTAGATCATACATGACAAATGGTAATGAAACTTCTGCTTTAAATTCTCCAAGGAAGAAGAGTCTCCCACTTCTCGTGGGAGTCCATTCCACGGTTAAACAGTGTTGACTGTCAGAAAGTACTTCCTGATGTTTAATCAGAATCTCATTTCTTGTAACTTGAATCCATTGGTTTGAGTCCTACCCTCTGGAACAGGAGAAAACAAGCTTGCTCCATCCTCCATATGAAAGCCCTTTAGATATTTGAAGATGGTTATCATATGTAAGGAGCCAACTGCTTAGCTTGGCGAAGATGAAAAAGGCTCAACTTCCAGACTCTATCACACACTGCAACCTACTGCACTGGTTACCATAGATAATGCTTCTTCCAAACCTAATCCCGGTAGGATGAGGGGCAACTTCCATACTATGGATACCAGGGAAGGCCTGAAGACACAGGTGCCCTCACAGGGGCCACACTAGAATCTCCCAGGGATAAGAGTTCTAGCCACCTTAGGATAACAAAAAAGCCTATTACATATACGGGATTTATGGAATACTGAAGGAAGTAGGTAATAGGAGGAATATGTCCAGCAAGGAAAACTTGGAAGGAGAATTTAAGCTCACCATACAATACATTCAGTATTTGAATATATTGTAGTATTAGTCATATAGATTTTTTCTGCTGTATTTTTTCATAATTTAGGCAGCTATCCTGTAACTACTTACCTGGGATAGAGCACTGAGCTCAGATTTACATCAAAACACAGAATTGCAAATGTACAAATATGATTTCAATGTATCTTGTTTGTTTTTACACACATTGTAATGTGTCTTAAATACTCTACTGAGAAAGGAAAGACATAAATAATTTAAATAAAATTTCCCATTCTAAGCATCTTCTGTCTTGTATAAGAGATATTTCCTCTCGATCTTTCTTTTTGGGTCTGCTGTCACTGAAAAAAGCCTACTTTTCATCAGACATGGAGCTGCAGAGCAATGGTTTAAGACATTTGTAATATAATTTTAACATATGTTTCTCTGATTTCCTTCCCTGCTGCCTACAAAACTTGTCATGTTCCTTTACTCCAAATGTCTCCAAATAAATAGTGGTTGTAATAAATAAATAAGCAGAGGATCACATAGATTAAATTTAATATATGACAGAAGAAATAAGAGCTTGGGGAGAGAATGGAATATACTGTGGGGCTAGATCTTATAGTCTGTGGTTTGGAAGGCAATGTCATAAAGGGAGCAGTCATTACAAATTGGAAAAATCCAAGCCGGAGAATGCAAATGCATGAGGGGTGCTCCATGACCACAATAAATTAAGTAAAAACCACTAAAGTTGTGTGTATGAAAAGGAAAGCAATATGGATATTCTCTGGTCAATAAATTAATATTTATTGTAGCCTTCCCCAATCTATCCCCCCCCCCGATATTATTGGAAGACAATTCCCATCAACCCTGACCACTGATCGTGCAGGCTGAGGCTAATGGGACCTGGAGCTCAAAACAGAGAGGAAAAGGCTGAACTATACTTAAACCTTTTTGATGGTGATTCTTGGAAGCCAGAGGAAGTCTGAGCATGTTTGAAATTCCCACCCCCTCTCAGAAGAAAATGGCATGTGCTTCGGTAACTGCTACCTTTTAATGTTTGGGGGTTTCTAAGCTTTCTTATTTCATTTTATAATGCATATAAAACAGACATAACAATTATAACAACGGATGAAAATTAAAAGATGAAAAACAAAACTACAAAATTGGGATGTAGAATGAGAAAAGTTGACCATGGGTTAAAATAACGAAGTCCAAGAAAAGACTATCAACATTATCAGATTATCAAATATAGTTCCAGATTTACAAGGGTTGCCTTGAAAAAAGATGGTTTTGCTTTATATGTCACAAATAAGTGGCAAAGAATATAATAAGTGTTTGGAGAGTCTAGTGCTAGCTGAAATTTCAAAATATGTGTGATTTTTTTCATTATAGCTATATTCCACAGTGAGTGGTACCAGGTCTACCTATTAATGTTTTTACCCAGCATCCTTCTGTTGACAAGGCCCCTTCAACAGACCCATGCAGAGGCTGGGGGCAGCCAGGTACACTTGTCCTGGGCCTCAGAGGGGGTGATGCCAAGGGGCTGCAGGACTTACACTGTCTGGCCCGGACACAAGCTCTGCACAGGCCTGACCTTCATCTATCAGATCTCTAACATTCAAGTCTCCAGCTGGCATTGACAAAGATAGCAACTCCCATAAGCAACCATTTAACCCAATAAGCTACATTTCCTAGAACCATTAACAAGCTACAGGACTCTCAACCATTAAAATGGTATGAGTGCTTTAAATGTATGTTGTGGATGTGACCTTAAGGAGCCAATACCAAAGTGCTTAAGTTTTGCTGGATACTCCCATCAGAGAAAATAAGTACTTGAGCCTCTCTTTTTTGTTTTGTTTTTTGGTCTAATGGAGAATCCAGAAAAACAAGCACTTTGGTATTGGCTCCTAAAGGTCCGCATTTTACACTGCTGGTTTGTTCCCTAGAGAATTCCACGTCACCATTCTAGACCTCTGTCTCTACCGGTTACAACACAGCCACGAAACACTGAAACAATATTTCAAGTTAATGAATTGCCTTTTACTCTTGCATTATCTGACATTTGCTCCCACAGATTCAGTCTCCAATGTAACAGCTTATCATTCTAAATTTGACTGGTTACACAAGAGAGAAATTGTTGCCATTCAATCCAAGTTTGCATGAGGACTAAGATGCAAAGTGTAATTAACACAGCTCTTAAATAGCCTCAATTAAACACCTGCCTCTCAGTTACACACCATAGGGAAGGCAGATGCTTATCTAATTAACACCACAGCTCTTAGCCGAAGAAATATGGTGTGTGTGTGTGTGTCAGAATAATTTGACTATTCATATGTTTGTTAAGTTCACAACTGCTTACATCCTAAACTTCACTGGAAATAAGCACTGAATTATTCTCTATTGATGTATTTTTAAAGTACTCAATTTTCTACTGCACTGTACCAACTTTTATGCTGTTTCCACAGAATGAAAGAATATGCTGAAGTCTATTAGGACAACTATTTTCTGCAGTGGAGTTATATACTTGCATAGAATATGAATCTGTGGATTACCTACTATTCTATAATTTGGGAGCATGCAGCATAAAGGGAGAGGAATCAGTCTGGAGACAGCTTACCGAGCTTACTCTTGGAATTCTTTCTGTAACTGACGCAAAAATGGCCAATTCCTTCTTCTTTTTTCGTGGTTCTTCAGTGGTCTCTTTAACCTGAAATTTGAGTAGGTAGTATTACGTTTGGGTGCAGGGGAGGTTACATTATAAAGGGAAGTTTGAACGTGTCACTGCTTTACAGTTTTAGTAAATATTAGTCTGCTGGCAGAATCCCCAGACTCATTTGCACAAATAAGCTGTTCACGTACAATGCTAGGCCAAAAATCCTATCTTAACAACTGATTATATACACATGAGCTGTATGCAGGTCAGTTGAGCTCCCTTGAATTCACTTCACTCATCCTTTCATGTGAGAGACTCAACATGCCAGGATTCAGCAACTAACCATAGCTTCCTGTTACAAGCACGTTGCTTCAAAACAGGCTAGGGCATGAAGCCATGGTTTGAAAACACCTAAGGGCAAGCTATGTTTATATGCTGAATCCTGTCGTGTTCAGCTGTTTGTACAAGGAAAGACTGAAGCAGCTGCAAAAGAGTTACTTGCGCCCACCTGCAGCTTGGGTATATCTTGATTTACTCAAGGCACAATTTTTGGATTAGCATTGGTGCTAATACAGCTCTACCTGCCCTGATCTCTAATACTTCCAAGAAAGATCCCACTAAAGATTCACCTCTTTCTAGAACTATCATAAAAGCACTTAAGTGTGTGCAATTCTACTAGAATTATATTTTATTCCTAAAGGTAAAGGGACCCCTGACCATTAGGTCCAGTCGTGACCGACTCTGTGGTTGCGGCGCTCATCTCACTTTATTGGCCGAGGGAGCTGGCATACAGCTTCCGGGTCATGTGGCCAGCATGACTAAGCCGCTTCTGGCGAACCAGAGCAGCGCACGGAAACGCCGTTTACCTTCCCGCCGGAAGTATTAGAGACCTATTTATCTACTTGGGAGTATTAGAGACCTATTTATCTACTTGTACTTTGACGTGCTTTCGAACTGCTAGGTTGGCGGGAGTGCTAGGTTGGCAGGAGATTTTATTCCTACTAGGATATAAATATTTCTTTAAATAAAAATATTAACTTCACAAGGAGTCATGGGAGTCTTCTCCCTTGCTCAGCATGTCTCCCATAGAGATATTCTATCTCATTTTACCCCAGCCAGCAAGTGAATCCTGGACCAGGAGCATAGCTAGCCAGGGGTGGGAGGTGCTGTCTGCACCAGGTGGGTGGGGGCATAGGGCAGCACAGCAGGGGAGCTTGAGTTTGGCACTGTGGCTGCCGGGCGTTTGGGGGGATGCAGCTACGCAACAACTTTGGTCCACTCCAGGCACCGGTGGGGATTGCTACGCCGCTGTCCTGGACAGAGTTCTACAAAAAAAAATCCCCTGCAAAAATTAAAATTGACAATCCCCTTGGTAGACAGCACACCAGGCCATGCAAAACAGGCAAATATAATTAATTTAATATTATTGTGATTTATGGTAATTCATTGTAAGTGTTTAAAATTTGTCACCTGACAATTGGCTCTCTGGAGAAACTATATAATCTTACAGAGCTACAAGTTGGATTTTGAAAACTTTTTGCAAATATTGTGTTATGTAGGAAATGCAAGATACTTTTTAGTTATGCATTTTGTTTTGGATTATTTTTAATAAGCTCATTTTAAAAGCTGACGAACAATATTTGATGACTTTGCCCCAGTAAGAAATGTTAATAGCATATCCAACCCCCTTCTCCCTTCCGCTATCATGAGACCTATCTCTAAATTTATCTATAATAACTTCTAATGATAATATATGTTAGCTATTCAGCTTGATTAAGACCTAAGGGGGGAAAGTATTTGCATCTGAGACATGCTGCGGAAAATTGTCCCTACAACTAGCATATTTGGTAATATGTATTCAGTTCTTCCCCTTATGATTATAATTCTGTTAAATCAGCTGTCAGGGAATGTTAATGGGGCTCTTAGGTAGTCATACTTAATATGTTTGATAATATGGAGCAAGAGAAAGATCCTATGCTAATTAATTGACACCACTTGAGAAATAGTGTAGGTTTACTATTCTTCTAGTTTGACTGTAGTGTGGAAATGTAAGTTATTTTCTAATAACTAGTTACTTATTTTCTCTGTATTTACAAGATGGTCTATGTCGTTCTTTAAACCACAGTAGAACCTATTTCTTTTATAGAGAGATTTTTCTCATTCAGAAAGGATTATTCACAAGTACTTTCCAGAGGGGAAGCCGTCTTGGTTTGTTACAGCAAAAAAGAAAAAGAGTGTGTACTGTTGCACCTTAAGACCTAACAGATTTACTGTGGTGTAATATCCCATGGATTGCAGTCATGAAAGACTATGAAACCTTATGCCACAATAAACTTGCTAGTTTTTAAGGTGCCACGATATTCTTTTTTTGTTTTCCTATATAACTGTAAGCCAATTCCCTAGTTTCTGTTTGATGAAGCTTGGCTCCTGTGTACTGCACATTTCTGTCTCCCAGCAGGTGCTCAGAGGCAGTAATGCCCAATGCAAAGTCTGGTAACCCTATGAAAATTTACTGGAAAGTTAGATCGCACTGAATTCAGAGGGGCTAACTCCCTAGTAAATCTTCTTCTTCAATGGTCACTTGTAGCCAAGTAAGATTGTCTTCCATGAACACGGTCTTAACAGTGAGTCCGTAAGTGACTGTGGAGGCCAAAGTAAATACGCATAAAAGGGCAGCCTGAACGGTGTAGAGCAGAAAAGCAGGTGAGAACAGAAAGAGGGGACTGAAACAGCTGAGTTGGAAAGTGATTACCGTATTTTTCGCCCTATAGGACGCACTTTTTCCGCTCCAAAAATGAAGGGGAAATCTGGGTGCGTCCTATGGGGCGAATGCAGGCTTTCTCTGAAGCTCACTAAATTGGCTAGTCTTCTTACACTGGACTCTATCAGACCAACCTCCCCCACAAAAGATGCACAAGCACCTGCTGTTCACTTGCCTCTTTACAGATGAAAACAAATATAGCTTTGGTAGATCAGACCACAGGTCCATCAAGTCTAGGATCCTATTTCCAATAATGGCCAGATAGCTTCTGGGAAGCCCACCAGCAGAGCATGAAAACAACAGATCCCTTTTTGTTTATTCCCAGCACCTGGTATTCAGAGATATAATGCAGGGATGATGGGAAACCTGTGGCCCTCCGGATGTTTTTGGACTCTCATCAGTCCCAGCCAACATAACCAATGGGCAGGGATTATGGGAAATGCTTTCCAACATCTTCTGGATGGCCACAGCTTTGCCATCCCTTTGAAGACAGGTGTTCCATTAAGTTATCATGCTAACAGCAGTTGACAGACTTATTCTCCATTTGCAGAACTGATTATCTGCTGCTGCTACATTCATGTACAAGTGGCTTTTGCTAAAGAAAGAATTCAGCACTTACTCTCATTTGAGGTTTTGTTTTGTTTTTATACAACCCTTCATCTGAGAATCACAGGGCAGTTTACAATATAAAAACACAAAAATACATACCATAGTAAAAAAACAAAAACAGTAACCTACACACACACAGTTTAAAAGTCCATAGATGGTTTAATTAGCCAAAGGTCTGCAAGAAGAGAAATGGTTTTTTCCTGGCACGAGACATCTCTGGATTATAGAAAAAGTAGACTAACACTACAATTCTAAACACATTTACCAGGAAGTAACCTCCTTTAAGCCCAGAGAGACTTATTGCTGAGTAAAGATGCACAGGACTGTACCACAAATTATTTGGGCTCCATTTTTAACATGAAAAAGAAAACCAATCTACCTGATAATCAGCTGGTCCAGGAGTAGTAAAAGCTTCTCTCTTGACTAAATATAGGAGTCTAGGAACTGAAGAACCAAATGCTCCCTTTTTCTTTTTTTCCATGTCAGCCTTTTTAAGACTTTCTGTTGCAATGCTATGGTTGAGAATATTATAGAATGCAGGACCTGCACAGCATACAAGGAAATTCTGTAAGCATAATAGCTGCTACTTAATTCTTTTACCACAGACAATTAAGTTAAAACGGGAATTGTAGGAGAAAGGGCAAAAGTGCTATACAAAAATAAAACAATACGCTTATATACACATACACACATACACATATAGCACAGCACTGTAACTACTTTGGATTGTCAAGGAAAAAGAAAACCCACATCTCTGCCAGGTGAGAAGGTCCACATTTAACAGAGGACACGATCAAATGTTGTACTCAGCAAAGAGAGGCTTATGCTGAAGATAAATGGTAGGCCACATTTCTTGCAGATTAGAGGGCGAAAGCAAAGACTTCTGT